TATATAATTTAGTTTTTTGATATTGTGCCTAATGAATTCCTACCATAGACAAACATATGGCCCAAAGCATTTCGGGTTTGCTATTCTTTTAAGCCTATTTACGGCACGAGCTCTCAAATTGTTTTCTCAAACAGCAATAATTACATTTGATTATACACAAACAAATTGCGTGCAGCTCAATGTTTTGTTTATTTTTAATTGTTTGTTTTTTAATTGAGTGCAAGCAACAATTGCAATTGATAATAATGTTTACGCGATGTGCATGATTATGATTATACAAAAATACATAAATATATACAAATATACTTATACATGAATATATATATACACACATACAATATATATATATTTGAAGTACGATCATTTACTTTAAATGTAATTAAAGCATTGAAATTAGTAGTGTAAACATTTAATTAATTAATTATTAAAATAAAGCTAGGCAATTCTGATGTGAGAAATCTTAAAAAAAAAAAAAAAACAAACAAAATACTCGTTTCAATTACATAATAAAAAACGCATTTAATTATTAGAAAATTTATACAAAATATATGCCTAAGTATATAAACAAATCTAGTTTAAAGTTCGTCCTTGAAATGACGCTCGATGTGGTATTGGTCCAGCCAATGATTCAGCCAGTACCAGACGAGGCTAGGCCTGAGCACTCCACATATAATGGTAAGGCCTGCTAGCTGCGGTAGCAATTTGAATTATTTATTATGCATAAGATATATAGATATTATATTGCCCATATATTCACCACAATCAGACCATATGCCAAGCCGTACATGATCCAAAATATGACGCTAGCACAGATGGTCAGGCAGTTGGCTACCGCATTTCGATGATGTTCTGCTTCTAGAGAATTGTTGAGGGGTGTCTTTGGGTTTCGTGGCTCGCTTATTTTCTGGAATATAAATGTGTAGATGTGTAGAACTGCGTAAAACAGATAAAGCGGAATTACTTTTCAGCTTATTTGTAAGATCTTGTTAGTACATCTATATCTATATCTATATCTATATCTATATCTATATCTATATCTATATCTATATCTATATCTATATCTATATCTATATCTATATCTATATCTATATCTATATCTATATCTATATCTATATCTATATCTATATCTATATCTATATCTGATATTCTCATCTATTGTGTTATGATTTCCGTTTTATCGTTCCGAGTTAAGAGATGTATGGGTTTGGTCATCATTTCCGCGATCTTCTGATGCACTGCTTCATCTACTATCCACATATCTCGGTGTTTTTTCTTTTGCTGTTTCGGCATTTCCCGCTCCTCGGATGTGAATTCCTTACTGGATCTCAAATGAACTTCATCCACTGATTCGTCAATTTGCAGCTGCACAGCTTCGAATTTAATGCTGCGCCTGTGGGTCCTGTGCCTGAACGGATGGGCTGGCCACACGGGTTGGTAAAATTTTTTCTTACGCTCGAGGACTCTACTTCTTGCCGAGGAGTCGTCAGTAGGCGTAGTGCTTGCCGTATGGGCGACAGGTGTAAAGAGCGCTTCCAAGTTAATTATATTAGTGTTATCCTCGTTCAGCTTTTGTCGTGGTCGTATATCTGGAGTACGGAACTCGTAGATGCCCGAGGCAGGTGGACACCTGCCAATAGCCGGACTTAGGATATACTGCTTCAATCGTCCGGTGCGCGGCGTGATGCTGGCCAACATCTTGGGCCTGATGATCTCACTGCTGGCATATTGAAGCGTTGACATGGTCTTTACAACATGAAATGTTTTTGGCTGACTCTGGCGTGACTTCTCCTTAAGGACGTCCAACAGTTCCCGCAGCATCTGGTATCGGAGCTCAGGTGCGGGCTGCTGGCTTGTCGGCGTTTCCAGGCCAAAGCACGATTCGTAAAGCGTGGAACCAGTTACCGTTGAATTGGACGGCGTTGGAAATGGAACTGGTTCACCTTTTGAGCTGGATCCATGAGCTGATTCATCAGCAATTTCAATGCTGAAGTCTTCTTCAGGCTGCTTGTCCTTAATAATATTTGGCTGGGTTTGATTGGGTTTTGATTTTGGTTCCATTTGAGTTTTCGAACTAGTTCGCGAGCCGCAGGAGTCCATTGCTGAATGTAGCCGACAACTAGGCTTATGCATGCCTTGGCAACTCTTTGCTTTGACTTGGCTCTTCTCATTCATCAGCTTTTTTTTACTCTTGCGATTTAAGCCACATTTTTGGCAGCTCTGATTTCTGGGAGGCAGCTCTTTGGACGTCTCGTTGGTATTGATGGCTCCGTAGTGCACTTTGCCGGCAGTTTTCAGTGGCTTCTTTTCATCCAGCCTTGAGCTCTCCCTCAGTTTTTTATTTTTTGCAAAGAGACCACCAAGCAGAGACCACATCGAGTTGCGATTGTTGGATGGGCTCTGCCCCGCCTTCGGTGGCGCCGAACCCCCCCGCTCGAGCCGAGCCCTGTTCTGATCAGTTGAGTAAACTTTGCTCGGATACTTTTCATCAGCTGCTGATTTATTTGTGGAATTTAAAGGCAATTCGTTTGACATGTCATTTGGTGGTTGGAGTAGCTCGGTCGCCATGGACTTTTCTAGGAGCTTGAACTCTTGGTCAGCGTCATTCTTCAGGATTTCGGAGCGCGTCTCGTCGCTGTCGTTGGGATCGCTGATCTGCAGGCTTTCCATGAACTGCAGCAGACCCTTGACGGACTCTGTGTGAGCGCTCCCGATGTGTTCCTCCTCCTGCTTGTCAATCAGGCTCTTCTGCAGGTGCAGAGCGTCGTCAGTCAGGGGGTTGGCCGACCCGGGCCCTGCGCCCGGACGCTGCTCCATTAGCCACAGGAGCTTCTCAATTATCGACATTGGCACCGTCTCTGGCTCGACGAGGGCCGGCGGCTTCTCCTCAACGTAGGGCGGCTCCTCGCCGCCGCGACTGCGCACCGACTGCTGAAGCACGGGCAGTGTGGAGCTGACGCTCTTGTGGCTGCTGCTGCTTGTGCTGCTGCTGGAGGCGCTGCTGTCGGATAGACCCGACTGGGCCACCGCCTTCATCATCTCGTGCAGCCGCAGAGGGGCGCCCACACTATAATTGTGACGCGGGCGCTCGGCTGGCGGCGCCGAGGGCACATCGAAGGGCGACGACGACGAACAGTCGCTGCTCGGCTCCGACTCGAAGCTGGAGAGCCGTGTAGGCGGCAGATCGGCGCGCTGCTTGATATGCAACGCCCTGGGCTGGCGCAGCATGAGGCGGGCGCTCTCCACGACCAGGGCATCCTCCGACGGACCATCGTACACTTCGAACGGCGAGAACTGGGTGGCCAAACTGCTCCCGATGGTCTCCTCCTGCTTGGGCGGCAGGCCGCCGCCCTTGGCGCGCACCTTCTGCTTGGCCAAGATCTCGGACAGAACCTGGGACAGTGGCGGCAGCGGACGGCTGCAGTGGGTGCGCAGCGGACGTCCGAAGAGTCGACGGCGCTTGGATATGGCGCCGCCGGATGTGTCCGTAATCGGCTTGTCCAGCGGTATGAAATCGCTGACAAACAGATTGTCATAGAAGCTGGGCTGATGATTGCGCAGATGCACGGGTCGATTGAATACCTCGTGCGCAAATGCCACCAGATTGGGCATATCCTCGGTGGGCTGCTCCCACAGCGACTCGCAGGCCTTGGCGGCGCTGACTGGAGGGGACGGCGGTGGGGATGGCGGCGGTGGCGGCGGTGCCGTCAGCTCGGGCTTAATCTCGGCATGCTTCGGCTCGGCTGCAGCACCCTCATCCTGCTTGCGCTGCAAGCGCTGCGGCTTACGGTAATGGCCAAAGCGTCCCATGTATAGTTTGTGGTTCTTGTTGGAGTTCTTGTTGTTGGATTTGGTTTTCATCGGCTGCTCTTTCTCCTGCTGCTGTTCCTGCTGTGGCTTTTCTGCTGCTGCTTCATCTACTGAGGGCTTGCGCTCTCCGCCACACTTCAAGCAATTGGCCTTGCGCCTGGACTTGGGCTTCTTGGCGCTCATCGCCACCTTCACACGCACCGAGCTGTGGCGCGCCTCCTCGCTGCGGCGACGCTCGGCCAGCATTCGCTGGCGCACCGCTGCCTTCTCCTCCTCGTCGCTGGAGGAGCTGAGGTAGGCGCGCGGACGACGACGCCTTCCGCACACTTCGCACCACAGCTCCGGCGGCGGAGATATGTGGAGGATGGAGCGAGGCAGCTTCTCGCAGAGGCACCAGGTCGGCGATGTTCCATAGCTAGACATTTTCTTCAGATATAGCGTGTATAGCTCGTACAAACGAAACATTAACAATAATTCAAATTCAAAATGTCGACCGTCAAATGCGACGAAATTTCCATTAATATTTTCCCTTTCTTGTTTGTATTTTTATTTATATTTTGTTTGCTGTGCGCTGTGAAGAAGCCAGGGCTCGACTAACTGTATCCCGAACTCAGCAGCTCCTGGTTAACGGTCACCTCTTGGCAGGTATCTCAACGGCAACTCCGTTCTCGATTGAGGCCTAACTTTGTTTCCTACAACTTATGCAGTCTTGAGAGCTGCTGTGCAGTGTTGCAAACTGCAGCAAAAAGTGCGGCCAATTAGCCAACTGAACTTGTAGATCTTCTGAACAGAATGGCAGGAACTTTTCACAATGTATAATGAAACAGCTGACTAAACGAGCTCTAATGGAATAATTAGTTTTAAAAGGCTTCTTACAGTTGATGTAATTATAATAATTATATTTAGGCCAGGTATAGAAAAGGTTTTATTGTGAATAATATATAATTATTAGAATTGTAATGACAATAGAAAAATATTTACAATATATTAATTTACC